TTGGGTTTAAATCATAACTATTAGCAGAGTCTGAAAATATAAACACTGAAAAACGAAAGAGAGTTTGAGACTGGTGCCGCGGAGTATCTGGCATACGCAAACACATGCTGCTTTCTACATAAAGTCCAGATGCCTGAGTTCACAGTAACATATTAGATCACAGCAAAGACGGAAAATCAGTCACCACAGTCAAGTTAATGGAAAGAGCAGACAGAACTAGATAGTAGAGACCACCAAAATGCCACATATTAAGATTTAAATAAAGAAAATTAAATTTAAAATTTATACAACAAATGTTTCAAAGGAATGTTAAAAAAAAAGTCAGAAAGAACAACAAACAAAAAAATCTATTTAAACAGCCAGACAGATTTGGGAAAGAAACGGAACTTCTAGAAATAAAAAAAAACTGTATGAAGTGGAAACAAAATAAAACCCACCTAAATGGATAGGTTGGGAGAAAGAGGCTGTCTACCCCCACAGTTAGTCTTAGGAATTGACGGGGGCACTTCTACTCTGTCCTATGTATAGGGTTTGTTATGAGTCAGAACCAACTTGACGGCAGTCAGGGGTGTTTTTTTTTGTTTTGTTTTGAAATGGAGAGGTTAAAGATCAGACTAGACTCAGTTGATGAGAAAAATCAGCAAGCTGTATGATATTGCTGAATACACTTCCCAGAATGTAACAAAGAATTAGAAACCATGTGAGATTACTAAAATGCATTAGAATTTTCCAGAACTGTCCATATTCAGAATGCACAGCAAACCCAAGGAAGATAAGTAACAAGAAATCACACCAAGACACATTTCAGAAGCTACAGAAAGCAGCTACCAAAGCAACAGGACAGAGTACCTACAAAACCGTTCAACAGCTCCAGAAAGTATTGGGAAAGGGTCATCATTTTTCTGTTTGTATGTGTGGTGTATTGGGGTGTATTGAAAACATACATGTGTGGTGTATGTGGGGTGTATTGAAAACATACACCCCAAAACATTTGGGCAGCACAACTGCAACACTTACAAGTCACAGACATTAATTACCCTTTCCATGTCATTAATGACTCGGCTTTTCCAAAGCATCACACCGCCACTGACATACACTCAATACCACCAACAAAATTCTCCCCTTTCCCCCTTGCTCCCAACCAACTACTAATCACTTGCTTATAAACATTCCTGCTCATTAGCAGGCAATGGCCTCCATACGAGACCACAGTCACGGTGTGTGAAAGCCAGAATTAACATAGACCACATAAGGGATAAGAGCTGGAAGAACCATTACTAATTGAGTAGAACTCACTAGCAAGTAGTAATAATAAAAACAATAATGGAGACGTCGGACAGGGCAAAATATGACAAAATAATAATTTATGAATTATCAAGGGCTCATGGTGGGGGGGGCAGGGAGGGAGGGGGAAAAATGAGGACCTGATGCCAGGGGCTTAAGTGGAGAGCAAATATTTTGAGAATGATGAGGGCAATGAATGCACAAGTGTGCTTTACACAATTGATGTATGTATGGATTGTGGTAAGAGTTGTATGAGCCCCTAATAAAACGATTAAAAAAAAGTTTTCAAAAAAAATAATAATGTGCTAAGTCAGTTTGTTTTTCCCCGCTAAATGAGTGTTCACAGAGACTCTATAGAATGGAACACTGCCTGGTCTTGCGCCATCCTCAACTGCTATGCTTGAGCCCCATTGAAGCCACTCCATAAATCCATCTCTTCCTCCCTGACCCTCTACTTTACAAGGGATTGGTTTCTCCTGATAACATATCTAAAGTATGTAAAATGAAGTCTAGCCAACCTTGCTTCTAAGGAACTTTCTGGATGTATTTCTTTCAAAACAGATTTGTTCATTTTTATTACAATTCATGGTGCTTTCAATATTCTTCATCAACACTGTATTTCATATGCATAAATTTTCATGTGGTCTTCCTTATTCATTGTCTATTTATCACATGCATATTAAGTGAATGAAAATATCAGAGACTGGATCAGGCACAGCTTAGTGCTCACAGTAACATTCTTGCTTTTCAACAAGTTAAAGAGAGCTTGTGAAGCAGATTTGCCCAATGCAATGCCATCTGATTTCTTGACTGATGTTTTCAGGAGTACTGATTGTGGATCCAAGCAAGATGAAATCCTTTGACAACCTCAAGCTTTTCCCTACTTATCATGCTATTCACTGGCCCAACTATGACATTTTTGGTTTTCTTTATACTGAGTTGTAGTCCATACTGCTTTTCATTAGCCAGTGTTTTTTAAGCCTTCCTCGCTTTCAGCAAGCAAGGTTAAGCCACCTGAGTTAGTTAATTGTGCCAGCCTGGCCGATAATCACATGTGGGGCTGGTTGAAAGGCGGAGGGATAAATGGGTGGTGAAGCCTCACCTTTCTAGTTCTCGGGTCTCTTGTTTTGTGATGGATGCACCGGGTGCAGCTGCCTTAGCAGTTCCCTGCTTCAGCTTGCAAGATTGACTTCCTACAAGACATCCCCAAGGAGAAGCCACATGGACCTATCCCGATGCAGCCCTGGGTGCTGGAGCAGCCGTGTGGAGACCCCTGCTAGTGCTGAGATGCTTGTTCATTCACTGACTCAGCTTTCCTCTTGCAGTCGGCATCATTGCCTCTGTTTTGTGAGGTGGAGGACTTTGTGGACTGGTGTTGGGTTAATGGGTTAATGTTGGACTTGTGGGCTTGGGCAGCATTGGGTTGGGATGTTTTCGTGATGCACCTTTTTACATAAAACTCTCTTATACATGAGTCGCTGTGGATTTGTTTCTCCAAAGTACCTAGACTAATAAACCACCTGCACACCGCAGGTTGCTAATAAGCCTTCTTCATATAGTCCAGTTTCTCAGATTTGCTCAATATACAAATTGTATAAGTATGGTGAAAGTACACCACTCTTGACACACACCTTACCCAATTTTAAAACACACAGTATTCCCTTGTCCTCTTTGTCTATATACAAATTCTGCTTAAGCACAATGCAGTGCTCTAGAATTTCCATTCTTCTCAATGTAATCCATCCTTTGCTATGATCCACAGCTGAATGTCTTACGTAGTCAATACAACACAAGTAAACATCTTTCTGGCACTCTGCTTTCAGCCATGATCCAGCTGATGCCAGCAGTTATGCCCTTTGTTTTATGTCCTCTTCTGAATCTGGCCAGCATCTGTGGCAGCCCTATCCCAATTACTGCTGCAACTGTTGTTGGATAATCTTCAGCAAAATTCTACTTACATGTGCCATTTATGATATGGTTCAAAAATTTTTATTCTGTTGGGTCACTTTACTTTGGATTGGGCACATATATGGATTTCTTCCAGTAAGTTGCCCAGGTAGCTATCTTCTAAATTTCTTGATATAGCTTGTTTACCAGTCATCATGTATTATTTACTACAGGTCCAGTTCTAGGTATTTCACTGGATTCTCTGATGCACCCAGATCATTTTATCTTTGCCAAGGTCACTTTATTTGTACTGAGTGACAGAAATAATATTCAAATCCACATTTCTAAAACCTCAGCCACTTTTTAACAGAGGCTGAAAAAATGCATTGAAAATTAGTCTCTTAAAACCAAAATGCTGGTATAGTGGAGTTTCTTTGTAAAGATTTTATCTCCTTTCAGCAGCTATCATCTAAAACCCCAATTATGAACAAAATCCTAGGACATGGAAAGCTCTGTGGAGCATGTTCTGTTGTGTTACAGGTGGGATCACAAGAGCCAGAACCAACCAGCAACATTCTTTTTTCCTTTCTTTTTCCCCCCAATCATTTTATTGGGGGCTCATACAACTCTTATCATAATCCATACATACATCAATTGTATGAAGAACATTTGTACATTCGCTCCCCTCATCATTCTCAAAACATTTGCTCTCCACAGCAACATTCTTTAAAGATAGCCATTCCACTGAAAACTCACTTAACATATCATCAGCCATTGTTTTTAAAATTCATTTAGTAGCAAGGCAGTGGGCTCAAACACAGCAACAGGCATTACGTTTGGGAACTCGTGGTTTAGATTATCAAAGAGGCTAATAAATCGGCTCAAAAGTCAATTGTCCTCATGGGAAACCACTAAAGATGTGAATAAAACCCTATAGCGCCAAATTACTTTCAATTCACAAGCAAAAGAGAAAATGACAGAAATTCACGCTGCCATTTCAGAGACCTAAAATCCTCCCAAAATAGTGGATAATCTAAATTTGGGTCCCAACCTCGTATACTAAGGCACTGCCATCCGGTGGATTCAGTCATAATAACCTTAGGCAATAAGCACTCACAAATATTTATGCATCTAGAGACATATAAAACATTAAACTATAAATTCTTTAGTTTTAAGAAATACGCTGATTGAAATACATTTTATATCTAATAGAGCACAAACCAATTTCACCTTAAAATTAAAACAATTCATGTCAGTTTCTAGAAGTTTCCAAATACACAAAGGCAAAGCCTTGTAGTGGATAAATCCAAGCTGTTGGTTTACTTTTGTAAGCCAACTAGAAAAAGGACAAACCACTTTCATGATTTTTAGTCATATACAATAAATGGAGAGAACATCTTTGAGAAGCTGGACGATCTAGGAGAACAAGGATAATTCTGGTGGTTCTTGTAGGAAATAGTATAATCTGAATGGAATGCTAGGTTACCTCATCCAATTCACTAACCATTCATGTGAGATGCAGAGAAAGTGATTTGGACAAACTCTAGGACTCCCTTTCAATTACACTGTTCTGTAAACTGCAAGGGCAGAGCCATCAGAGTTATTCAAGGTTGTAATCATGACTCAGGATGAAGGAGAATCAAGTTTTCTAGCTCTACATCTCAAATCTTACCTTCTGAAAACTATCAACCAATAACTTTGTTATAAAAGCTTGTTCTCAATTTATGCCTTCATCTTGGTGTTGAACAATAACAACAACATACTTTGGGAAGCAACACTGAGCACATACCATACTCTAAATGATATGCTATGAGAAATTAGACACTTACTTCTTATCAAAAAATGTTGAATTCTCTTTTCTCTTAGTGAAACCATTGGGTAGAAGTTTTAAGCAAATGCCTTGCCTCCGGGCACGGTTTTTCAAAAAGTGCATCTAATAGCCCAAAACATAAAAATTAAATTTAAAATTCCTTAATTTTCAAAAATGATGTTTAATAAATAAATGGAATCTACTGAGTGATTTATCACACATATAAACAGTAAATAGTAGGACCTCATTTAACCTCTACAATAATACTGAGATAGGACCTATTATCACTCTCATTCTAGCAATGATGATTAATGCTATTATTACATTATATAGCTATTTCTGAAAGGTAAAGCTTGTATTAAAGCACAGGTCTGTCTAATTTAATTCTTGAGCCTCTGCTTCTAGCTATAGATCCCATTAGGCAAAGAATTTCATGAGATGAAGCACATGCATGCACCCCCCACTTAGCAATTATCGAAGCTGCTGACGACAGTTCTGTATTTCCTCGTGGCTTGTTTTATGCCATGTTGTTGGTCACTAGATTTCAGCTCAGAGACCCGTGTGAGAGAACAGAACTGCTTCACAAGTTTTCTAGGCTGAAATTTTTACAGGAGTAGATCACCAGGTCTTTTTTCCCATGGAACTACAGGGTGGTTTGAATTGAATTGCCCATCTTTTTAAGTTAGCAGCCAAAGGCCAAACCAAAGCCAATGTCATTGAGTCGATTCCATCTGGTACCTCCAACCAGAGCTCAGGAAATTAATGAAACTGCCCTTAACGTATGATATGAAAAACTGCAAGTTCCTTTGCATGGCAAAGGCACTGGTGACCTAGCCTCTCACTGCTGGTCAAACTTTCCTGCCTCCGAAATCAAAGACTGCAGCCTTCCGTAGGGATCTCGGAAGTACTATGCACTGCCGGGACAATCAACAATCTGTGTTGGAAGTATAGCCAGAATGCTCCTTAGAATTGAGGACAGTGAGTGAGACTTTTAAATTGCAGCCACGGAGTTGATTCTGACTCCTAGCAATCCTCTAGGGCTGAGAAGAACTGCCCCCAGAGGGTTTCTTTCTAAAGGCAAAATTATCTGAGCTTATATTCATTTCTTATGTTTCCCTACAATACAACCATCACGAGGAGGCCTTATTTTGTTCACTGCTATCTCCCCAGAAAAGTGCTGAATTGTGGCAGCCACTTAATTTACTGAATGAAAGAATGAACCTAATTGGCCGAAAGGAAGTACAATGGAAAGGGATTAGAATAAATACTTACATGTTTATTTCCCATTGGTCTTTTCAAAAAAGTATCTCTAGAAATATAGTCTGCTGTTCTTGCTACATCTTCCAAAAATCGATAATCTAAAAAATGCCAAAATAGGAAAATAAATGAATGACCAAAGTCAGTCACTAAGAGACATCAAAAATGTCTAAGATCACTTACCACTTAGAAGATTCATTTCAGTAAACTGCTTTATTGAGACAAATGCAGTTTTATCTCGAACTCCATTGCATGTCAGTTCTGCTTTGTGTTTCTTGACACAGGGCAAACTGAAGAGGCAAAGAGAAAGTACTTTGATATTTGGTGGTAAGAAGAGTAGAAACAGAACAAAAAAGACAGGGAATTTACATATACCTGCAGGAATATCGCATACAACGTGGGCATCTGTACTTGGCTTCTTCTGTACCACAAGTTTCACACCTACAAAAGTCCATATGTAATTTATTAAATTATCAAGTATTAATTATACAGACCAATTTATAAATTTGAATGCCTATTCAATTACCCATCACACTCAATTTACAGACATGTAATTACATAGAATCAAGTATCAGCTGAGGTAAATTTAGCAAAATGTTTCACAGCTGTCTAACATTCGAAATCTTGCTTCTACAAAACCATCTTGATGTGACATCTACGTTTACAATGTTAACATTTCATTCAAGAAAATGTATTAATTTTTAAAATCTCATTTTGTACTACCCACGGAGAATTAGATTCACTGATATTTTAACTTTCACTCCCCGACAATCACATAATAAATGTGTACGTGTGCGCATGTGTGTACTGTGTAAGTATCCAGAAGTTCAATCCATAAACTATGTATAGCAAAGAATACAGCAAAGAAAAATATTAGACCCAGTCAAATTTAGCTAAAGTAGTAGTTGCATCATCGTCCTCACGCCACACCCACACGGGAATGGACAATCAAAATATCTAGACATGCCTGACTGTTCTCTGATTGCGGTACCGAATCTACATTCCATGCTACAAAACCATGCTGCAGCTACTTCGATTTGACTTATGCTCTACATAGTAATATTCCCCAGGATCTAGGCATGTTTTTCTTATTTTCTCACATGATCACTCACTGTAAGGTTATTAAAGAGTAAATCAAAAGCAATATATACTCAATTGTACCCAGAAACTATACTATTGAGTTTAAATATTAAGTATGTCTGATATTGTTGGTTTAAAAAAATCTTTTCTCATCTACCTTCTATAAAAGAAAAACCATGCTAAGAGTTTTTTAATAAATCACACAAGCCTATTTTCAAAAGTCTCCCCATGCCCAGACTTTCCTTTCCTAGCTTGGCTATTGCCCATTTGACTTACTACTAACCTCAGTCTATTGAACTTGTTAGCTGACAGCATCCAACAGCCACTGCTTGGCTAAGTCCCCCACCCCCACCCCAGCTCCTAACTCGGGCTGCAGGGACCCAAGCTTGTACTACTTTTCAATCCCTGCAGGTAGCTTCCTCACTTCAGTCAACAGAGAACTCTACAGTTTAGGTCCTCAATTGATTCCACCCCCCAACCTACCTTGACATGGCCAGTTTCCGCTTGTAGCTCACTGGATTGACTGTAGATTCGTCATTCAGCTTTGTATCATCCATCACTTCCTGTTTCACAACGGCTTTCTCTTCTTTTACAAAATCTCCAACCATCATCTCTTCCTGTTTTACGCTCTGGTCAGCCACTACCTCCTCCTTTTTTATCTCAAATTTAACCTCCTCCTCTTCCTTCATATCTAGCCAGCCCACGGCCTCTTCCTTCACTTTCACTTTCTCTTCCTTTATCTCAGCCCCAGCACCCACCTTCTCTTCTTTTATTAGCAAACTAGCATCCATCTCCTGCTTCACTTCGAAGGTGCCCGCTTTCTCATCCTTCACCTCTGGCCCATCCTCTACCGCTTGCTTCACCCCCTGTGCATCCAGCTTGCAATCTTCTGTTTTTAACCAGTCTGGACTTTCTTGCTTCACAGCCGCTAGGTCCACTCGCAGGTCGTCTGTCCTTTGCCCACTTCCGTCCTCTCCGTCCCCTGTTCTCCACACTCCTGTTAGTCCACCCCCGTCCTTGCCACCGCAGGCCTCGGGCATCCCTGCCAAAGCCTTGCCTCCCTCACCGCACGACTCGGGTCTTAGCTCTGCCCCCTCAGCTCCACTCAGGCAATCGCCTCCCAACGGCCCTTCATTTCCAGCAGCAAACTCCATCAACTCACGAACTGTGATCTCGCTGTAATTAGTCCGCCGAGAGCGCTGCAGCTCTGCCGACAAGAATGAATTACTCTGACCGAAGTCGGCCAGCACAGCACGTGCATGCGCAAGAAGCCGCGGTCGGAGAACGCCGTAAAGCAATGCTGCTGCGTTACGCCACTTCACGACCTTTTGCGGTTCTGCGGAAGGCCGTCCCCGCTCTGGGGAAACCGCGAAAGGCCACGCCCACGGTTTGCACCGCCCTGGGCGGAGCTTAGCCGCTTACTTCCATAAAGTACCAGCCTCTACTGTGTTGTAAGAAGATGGAGGGAAGGAAAAGAGGTTAAACCTTTCAGTCATGAAATGGAGACATCACCCTAATCTGTACTAACGGTTAAATCTAATCTTGTGGAAAAACCGGAGAGTATACTTGATTTTATACTTTTTAGAACTTTTGTGGTTTTTCACTTATACACCATTGTTAGCTACCATGGAATCTGCCTACTCACGGGGACTGCATACACCATCTGTCCCCTTGAAGGTGTTTAACAAGGACAGTACAGATCTCTTAGTGTTGTGAAGTAATAATACGTTACGTGTGGTTGGAGCCAAAAAGTATGGCTGGTTGTGGACGGTTCCAGAGGTTGATTGTGGTTACGATTATTTTTAAACAGGGGATCATGATTTTTATTGTGATTTGGATAGATCTGATATTACAAGTAAATGTTTCCAAATATTTGGCTGAATCTGAATCCTGACATGATGTCAGGAGAAGACTAGTCCCTAGAGAAGGACACCATGCTTGGTAAAGAGGCAGCAAAAAAGAGGAAGGCCCCCAACAAGATGGATCGATCCAATGGCTTCACTGATGGAGTCAATCAAAGGATTAATTGTGAGGACGGCACAGGATTGGGTAGTATTTCGTTCTGTTGTACACAGGGTGGCTATGAGTCCTAACCAACTCGATGTTACCTAATAACAACAATATTCTGATCATTGGCAAAAGCACAATTTGGAACAACAAATACATCATAATTCAGGAGCTTCAATCATGATTGATGAGATTTGAGGAAAAGCTAACAATTAAGTCATCTTCAGGATTCCACTAGAGGGACTAAAGGCACTATATTTGCTGCAGGATGTGAGATAGATTTAGTAACTAGATTTACTTTTTAAAAATTTGTACAAAGTTTTTCTTTGTGGGGGATTTTTTGCACATTAAGACTTAAACGAGGGAACTGATCACAATGATCTACATATAATCCCATCCCTTGGTGGGGGGGGGAACAAAAGTGGGTGAAGGGAAACATTGGTCAGTTTAAGACATGAAAAGATAATTACAATTTATAAAGAGTTCATGAGGGAGGGAGGGGAAAAATGAGCTGATACCAAGGGTTCAAGTAGACAGAAAATGTTTTGAAAATGTTGATGGCAACAAATGTACAAATGTGCTGGACACAATGTATGTATGTATGTATGTATGTATGTATGTATGTATGTATGGTGATAAGAGCTGTACGAGCTCCCAATAAAATTATTTGTAAAAATAAACATAAAAAAAACTTCAAAGAAAAGACAGTGTTTTCTGTGATCTATTAAATTACAAAGGAGGCTTGGTGGCACAAAAGCATTGGGTTACTAGCCACAGTGTTTTTGGTTCAAACCCACAAGCCAATCCACAGGAGAAATGAGAGGCTATCTGCTTTCATACAGCTTTATAGTCTGGAGATCCAAAGGAGCAGTTCAACTCTGTCCTGTAGGGTCCCTATGAGTCAGAATCGATCTGATAGTAATAGGTTATGCTAAACTATGCAGGAAATATCGGAGAAACATTTAAAAACGATTTTAAGTATGGATACACTATAAATAGTGAAATCTGTGAGAATCAGAACTCAATAGGACCAGATTATTTTTCTGGGTTTCACAAGTTTGTTGCTTTTGAATGGGTGCAGCAAATCATTTTTCTATTGTTGATTTTAGTGGAAAATGTTATTTAGTTTTCCTTTTCTGACAGGTTTCCATTTACACTGCCTTTTAGATAGCTAGTGCTACAATAACAGACATACCACAATTGGATGGCTTCTAAAAACTGATGCAGGAGTCTAGAAGTTTGAATTCAGGATGGTGGCTATAGGGAATGTTGTTTCTCCTTGCTGGCTCTGAAGGAAGATCTTTGTCTCCTTTCTCTATCTGGGGCCCTGGCGTTCCTAGGAGATCTATGAGTATTTGACATGAATATTCCTTTGGATCTAGAGAGCTCCCCAATGTCAAAGGATGCCCTCTGCTGCTGGCTCCTCTAGCTTAGCATTAATAGGCTTTCTCTCTCTCCCCACCCCCCTGTCTCCCTCCCTCTCTCTCTCTTTCCCTCTCTATCTCAAGCAGATAAAAAGTGCCGCAGGTCACACTCCAGGGAAAATTCCCTTATATTTCCCTTATAGAACACAGCTCAGGGCTGGGTTGTATCCTGCCCTTAATCCTTTTACAATTGATTAGCCCATCAGATGATATCCTGGGGGATCATTACATAACTGACAAACCAGAGAATCATGTTGACAAATGGACACATTTAGGGGAGGCAAAATCCAATCCATGACATTCCCACCATCCTTTGCCCTTCTGCTGACAATTAATGTACTTGCCACATGGAAAGCACATTCACTTCATTATGTTATCCCCTAAATCTTCCAAGTTCAAATTACAACATGGGGCAAAATTTCTCTTCACCTGTTAATGTAGAATACAAGTTATCTGCTTCCAAACATCACGTTGGAGCAGGCATTTCCATTACAAATGGGAGCTATTGTAAGGCAAGGGATAGGGAGCACCAAACAAGTTAAAAAAAACAGCAAAACTGTTTAATCTGTTCTCTGATCCCATTTAAGCATTGGCTGTGCCCTAAAGATTCTGGGTATTGGTCATGGCTTTTGGGTCTGGGTAAAGGCCCCATAACCCCAGACTTCAGCTCTTAACTTCCAGGCCCACAAGTATGGCAACTCTGACCCAAGCAGTCCCATTCTCCTATTCCATCTGAATGGTGATCCCCAGCAGGCCTTGTTCTGTGCTCTTAGGCATGGCAGTTTAACACAGGCGAACTCTTAACTCCTGAACTGAGTCAACGAAGATCCTGTTAGTAGCAAGATAGGGTGGTTGTTCCTCTCCATGCCTACAGGAAGTTGGAAGCTGATAAGGCTATAGGGCATGTGCAAATTCAGGCCCTTGAGCCAGGGGGTCGGTATACCTAGGTGGGCCCCAATCTAGGCTAGGTGGGTGTGCAGTGCCCTGAGGGTGCCTGTGTTCAGTTTACTGTAATGCCTGAAACTTCTTTTATCCTTTATAAAAACCCACTTAGATCACAAACCAGGCTATGGGATGAATTCTTCCTCATGGGAAGCTAAGGACCGAGGTGTTTCTCACCTGAGCAATCTAAGAATCCGACTATTGGAACCCTAGCATGACAGATCCACACACCAGAGCCAAAATGGTGATGATCTGACCACTGAAAGCCTAGGAAACTGGCTCCACCCAAATAAACCCATCCCCACCCACTGAGACGCTAGAGGCTGTGAACCTGCCCCTGGACAGAGCAGTTTTGCTCCTGTGCTTCCTTGTCTTTTCAGCTTTTGCATCCTGGTGCCTTGGTCTCTTGAAGAGGCCAGTTGGATTCTGCTTTGAGCAAGTCTTGAAAAACTCTTTAGCTCAACGGATAAGTGCCCATGGAAACCACATTCCATCAGTAAGCCTTAGCCCGAAGGCAGATCGCTGGGATCCAAATGCCTAAGTCCGAAGACAAGTGCCCAGAGCCAACCAACTCCTCCAGGCATCTTCCTGTCCAGAGGCACTCTCTCGGCTCTCTGGTGATAGATTCACATCCAGTCTTGTCATCGTCCCCTAGTCTTGCTGCTACCATTTCTCTGCCACTGTTTTTCTCTTTGTCATCTTCAGTCTTATACCTCTCCTGGCTTGCTTCTGAGCCTTCATCAGGATGACCTTTGATGTCCATAATTCTACCAACAATCTCTTCAAGGTAATCTAGGCTTTTACTATTGGGCACTTTAGTAGAATTATGTGTAGCCTCTACTGATTACCCAATTCTAAAACCACTTCCACATTTTAGATATCTAGTAGAGCAGCACCAAATGAGACACATTCTTTCATGGAAAGGGCAACATTTTGTTCTTACTGGTATAGATACTTAGTCTGGATATGGATTTGCCTCACAATGTTCCTACAAAAACTGCCATTCATGAATTTACAAAATGTTTTATTCAATATCATGGTACTCCACAGAGCATCATCGCAGATCAAGGGTTGTTTGTTTTATTGTTGTTAGGTGCCATCAAGTCTGTTCTGACCCAAAGTGACCCTATCTTTGCACAACAGAATGAAACAGGGCCTGGTTGTGTGCCATCCTCAAAATTGTTCCTATGCCTGAGCCCATTGTTGGCAGTCACTCTGTCAATTCATCTCCCTTCCGGTCTTTCTATTTTTCTCTGCCCTCCACTTTACCAAGCACAATGTCCTTCGCCAGGGACTGATCTCTCCTGGTAATATGACCAGAGGATGTAAGACAAAGTCCTGCCACCCTTACATCTTAGGAGCACTCTGGCCATACTTCTTCCAGACAGACTTGTTTGTCCCTTTGACAGTCCATGAGACTTTCAATATTCTTTGCCAGCACTATAACTCAAACACATCTATTCTTCTTTGATCTTCCTTACTTAATGTCCAACTTTCACATTTATATGAGGCAGTTAGTTGAAAATACTTGGGTCAAGTGTAACTTAGTCCTCAAAGTAACATCCTTGCTTTTCAATACTCTAAAGAGGTCTTGTGCAGTAGGTTTACCTAAGGCAATGCAGCTTTTGATCTCTTGACTGCTGCTTCCATAAACATTGATCGTGGATCCAAGCAAAACGAAATCCTTCATCTTCTCTCCATTTATCATGATGTTACCTACTGGGCCAATTGTAAGGGTTTTGGTCTTCTTTTATTGAATTCAAATCCATACTGAACGCTGCAGTCCTTAATCTTCATCAGAAGCGCCTCAAGTCCTCCTCACCTTCAGCAAGCAAGGGTGTGTCATATCTGTGCATCTCAGCTTGTTAATAAGGCTTCCTCTAACCCTGA